TTCTAACTGCGGGGTGCTCAGGCTGGATGTAAACACCTCAGTTCCCCAGGGAGGCAGCTCGCGTGGGCTGCTGCCTCGTCCCCTCTGTCCTCAGCCCACGTCCCAACCTCCCCGGGCAGCAGCGAATCACAGGTTCCACGCCATTCAGGGCCATGGGAAGTAAGTCAACCTAGAAAAGGGTTTGTATCAGCCTCAAGATGGATACGCTTCACCTGAAGACTTCGCCATACTGATGTGAAGGCCAATACACCTGGGGGAAAATACCAGTCGGTTAGGGTCAGGAGTTGTGTTCTCCGCTCTGGACAAGCTGGCAGATTCACAGCCAGGCGTAAGACGTCGCCAGTGAGCATGGGTGGTTTCACTCTTTCTTTCCAGCCTGGCCCCCCAGAGGTTCTTTTCCCTGAAATGCCTGGCTAGAATTTCCAGAGCAACCTTAAACAGCATTAGAGAAAGTGGCCAGCCTTGTCGCTTTCCCCCTTTTAAAATTTTAATTCTTGTAGCCTGTGTGCGCAGTGCACAGTGGCCGCGCTCCTGGTGGGAGCTGGTGCACGCGTCGGGCACATCTTCGTTCTCTTCACGTCCCCTTCCCTCCTCTCCCTCTGCCTCTCGGCCGCTCTCCCACTTACAAAGCCCCTGTCTGATTCCCACCTTGACCTGGCTCTGCTTTGGGCCCCTCGGGCGAGAGGCAGCACGCGACACGCAGCCGTGCGATTCTGAGTCCGCTCACTGAACTCCACGGTCTCCTACAGGTGACTCAGTTTATCCGCAGTGAACCGCACGCCCCGTGCAGCCCACGGCCCCATCCCCACAGTCCAGTCCCGGCCACGCCGTCCTTGGGAGCCACTCGTGCCTCCTGCAGCTCCTTTAAACCTGGGTTCTGCGTGCAAGCTCCTGTACAGAGGGGAAACTGAGGCGAGGGCAGCAGGCCCTCTGCAGTGCTGGCCACCCCCCACCCCGGGCTGAGCGCTGAGCTTGTTCCACGGGATGGGGACGCGCTGTGCTTGCTTCCGGTCACAGGAAGAGTGACATGGGCTGCGTCCTGGGAGGACAGCAGCCCCCGGAGCTCAGGTGCACCTGGCTCGGATGCAGTTCTGCTCTGCAGCCTGACCCGGGACGGCAGGGGCCTGGCGAGCTGCTTCCTCCCCAGCCCCCGACAGATGTCCCTGGCAGGCGAGGCCCTGCGCCTGCCCTGAGAGGACGGAAGCAGGGCAGCCGATGTCAGGCCCACGTGCTAGGGAAGCTTCTCCGCCATGCCCCGTGGACGAGGCCACCCTGTCCCTTTGCTGAAACGCACAAGGCCAGACCACACCCAAAACTCTTCCCAGGCCACAACAGCAAACTCCAGGCACAAAGAAGTCAGGTCCCAGCCAAAGTCGCAGCCAGCAGCAGCAGAGCCGGCTGAGTCACCACACCCGGGCACAGTGTCCCAGGCCTGAATGGGGAAGGCCTGCTTCTGTCCGACTCCAGTGATGGGGACCTCTGGGTGTCCAGGGCCGAGGACCTCACTGGACCCATCTGGTACAAGAAGTGCCAGCATCTGGCACTGCCTTTGTGCCTCTCCCACCTCCCCTGGCCACACAGCTGACAGATAAGCAATATCAAGTCACCTCGACCCTATGACCAGTCCTGGCCCTCAGGTGCTTGAGTCTGCTGCGAGCTGTTTGCAGAAAAGATGCAGGTCTCCTGTCTCCCCTGCGCCCTGTCTCCAATCCCTGATGCTACTGCTGAAGTTTGCTGTCCTGGACGGCCAGTTCTCCTGAGTCGTCTGGGAGCAGGATGTTCCTTCAAAACCTCCCTCTTTCTGCAAGGAAAGAGCTGGTGCTCAGCTGAGAAGCCAGCAGCTCGAGGGCTCCACCATGAGGACATCAGGGGAGGAGTCCTCCCTCCGGATTTGCCACTGTCCTCAGCAGGCGACCTCAAACGAGGGCCAGGGCCCCCGCTGTGCTGTCCGGCAGGAGGGGATATGGCACCGAGCATCCCTCTCCCCTCTCCACTTCCCCAGCCCAGGGACAGCAGGAGGCCACACAGCTCCCTGGCTGGCTCTTTCTTGACCCCACGCAGGGCACCAGTTTCTTGCAGGGGACCTGGGGCAAGTGGGAGGCTTGGAACGGCTGTGCCAGAACCAGCACAGGAATCTGCTGCACCAAACGGAAACGCAGCCTGGAAACCGCAAACTCCACTGACTTTGTTTCCCATGAGTCCCCTCCCTGAGGACGGGTGCGCCGCTCATGGTTGATCTCCAACACGGCGCGGTGCCTCACACCTCGGACAGGCTCAGTAAACATCTGTGGAGGGAAGAAAGGAAAGCAAGACCTTCCTGCAGGAGATGCCTGTGGTCACACGTGACGGCCACCACTCACTCCGCAGGTGAACGTGCCAGGCGGGGAGCCACAGGAGCTCGGTGGTGGGCGGGAGGTCCTGAAAGGGGGTCCCCTGCCAGCCCTGGGGCCGAGACCAAGCTGGTCCCTGGAAAGGAGCAGCCATGAATCCCCACGTGTGGGAACAGCAGACAGGAGGCCTTCGACACTGCTGGAGCTTCCTGAACCCGCCACAGGGCACCAGCAGCAGGGTGAGCCCCTCCACGCCCCTTCTGTGCACACTGAACTTAACACCCCGACACGGGGCCGGTTCTACCTGAAGAAATCTCCAAGTTGTAGCTCCCCAGTGCGATCAGCAAACTCCTATCCACTGCTTTGCAGTTTCACTGTTTCCACCCACCAGGCCTCACAGGTCACGCCACCCCTCCCAGGAAGTGGCCGCTCCCCGGGCAGGACCTGGAGACCAGTGGCTCCCGTGGGTGCGACATCCTGGGGATGTGTGGGTCAAAGGCGTCAGAGCCCCCCGAAACCCTAAGGACCACCGTGAACAGGCAGGGCGATGGAAAGCTGATGGGATTTAGAGCCAGGACATCTCGACTGGGCTCCTGCCACCCGCATCTGCTGGCTGAGTGGCCCGGGGTAGGGACTTCACTTCTAGACCAGTGATATGACGGTTCCTCCTCGAGGCCGTGGGCAATGAAGTGGCTACAGTGGCCTGGTGAGAGTCACCCCGCCAACTCCATGGTTTACACAAATAGGATTCCCTCCTGAGAGCTAAACTCTCAAGGTACAGAGCTTGACCATCGCTGCTGGTGGTGAGGGAACATGGGGAAGGTGGCCAGCACCGTGACCTTTCCTCAGAGAACCCAGTGCGAAGCAGAGCAGCTTCCCACCCCACGTTCTCCACTGGGTAAACAAATGCACTGACATGGAGAATGGATGCAGTTGTGAGAGCTGCTGCAGGCAGCCACAATGCACCATGAGTGCAGAAGTGCCATGAACAAGCCCTCTGTCACTCTCAGGGCACCAGGGCAGGATGGTGGCTCTTCTCTGCCCCCGTCAGCCATCTGTACCAGCCCCTGCACAACACCTTGCCATCGGCCTCACTCTGCCCTCTTCGCAGAGCCTTGGCGACCCTGTGTCCTCCTGCCTCCATGAGGTGGGGCATTGCTCAGGGGACTCCTGTCCCACTCAGCCCTCCCAGGGGAGGCTTCTGCTTCCATGCCCCAGGGCCGCCGGGCAGCAGGGAGTGGGGCTGGGGCTGCCTCTCTAGACCATGCGCCCTACTCTCCCACCGGAGACTGACGCCTGGTGCCCGCCCGACCTGAGGCAGGACAGCTCAGTGCCCTTGCTCGCCACGTCCCGGGTGGCCCCAAAACCTGGCCGAGAATTCCGCTGCTGACTCCTCTGGGGCCTGAGAGGGCCTCCTGCAGGGTCTGTGTTTCTGCTGCCGCCGACGGAGTTTTCCGGTTTCTGTGTACGGCGAGGTCATGGATGGGGATCTCCGTGTGCGGAGTAGGACGGAGGAGAGGAGGCTCGCAAACAGCGGAGCCCAGGAGCCCGGTCCGCCCCTCCAGCTCCAAACAGCCACGCGGTGCCAGGTCTCTACCCACAGGCACGGGCACAGGCAGAGGAGGGGACGGAGGCGAGCGAGGGCCGGGGCCAGGCAGCAGCCAGGGCCACCGCGCGGTCACAGCCGGTCCTCACAAGGCCGAGAGGAGTCTGCACAACACCGAGAGACCGAGAGACAGAAGCAAGCGGGGAGGGAGGACGGGGCGGGGACCGACAGTCTCCCTGGAAAATAGCGTACACGCCGCGGTGTGACTATGGTACAGTTTATTTCAACACACTAAACCCACACGTAACAACTGAAAACAACTTTCTCAAAAAAACATGAATTGGGTACATGCAAAATTGGTTTACATATTTTAGCAATATAGAAAATAATTTAAGTATACTACATCTAATAAAGCTTTCTATGTACACAGTAGACATTAAATAATCTCGCTTAACGACCAGACATTTGCAAAAATCCAAACATAATTCTGTAGAACAGAATTAAACACCTAAGAATATTATGAATTTAACTGCACAAAAGAATCATAGTAGTCCTCTCATTTTTATCTACTTTTGTTTTGTTTTTCCTGTACTGCAGATTGAACCTAGGGCCTTGTGGATGCCAGGCAAGCGCTCACTACTTCTCCAGCCCTTTTTATTTTTTGAGGCAGAGTCTCTCTTAGCCACCCGGGCTTTCCCCAAATTTGCAACCCTCCTGCCTCGGCCTTCAGAGTAGCTGGGACTATAGGCACGTGCTCCCCCACCCCCACCACATACAGGAGAAGTAAGCTCCAGGACCAACTCCTTCCTCCGAGTCCTCAGGACACGCATCTCCCTTAGGAAGGAGCAGAGCGGTCAGGGCGGTGAGAAAGAGCTCCTCAGAGTCAGCCCCCAGACCCTCGGGACAACTCCAGACGGCCGCCCGTCCGCCCTCCCTACCACTGAGAGCCCTTCCGTGACGTTTAGCCCTTGAACCATTCAAGGAAATGTGGCAGTTCTAGGAGAGTGACGTTGACATATTTAAACATGAAATGAAAAATTCTCAAGGTTAATTTTTTTCCTCATTGAGTTTATTGTTACATTTAAGGTCTACAGTACAGTTGCAGTCACTATTGGGATCTCATACCTTTACACGACAGGTCTTGGTTCTCACTTTTCCCCTTGTTCAAGGTTAATTTTTTAAATATGCAATCTGCTACATTTTTAGAGATGACTTTTTCCATACACAAATGAAAAAGAAACAGAATAACCTGGACACACTAAACGAGACAGCTGAAATCACTTTCACATAGCAGCACATGCTGCGTCCACTTCCACGCCGAGAATGGCCGCTGGCCACCGTACAACTGCACGGCAAAGCCCAGCCGCCCACCCTGTCCAGGCTCTGTTCTTCACGTTGCAACAAAGCACTGAAACACATGCTGCCTGTCACAGAACTACGGGGCTTTACATTCTAAATAGCAAACTCAACTACCACGACAGCGACTTAAGCATCTACGTGATGAAAAGTTGTACACATACTCTTAATTTCTTTTCTTTACCTATAAAATATATTAAAAGGAGACTTCGTAACTGCTATTTCTTTAAGATCTGAAACTCAAAGTACCAAACACAATAAATAAAAGTGCAGCCTGGAGGCACAGAATACTGAATAAAAATAAACCAGTGTGTTAAAAATCCAGTATTTCAGTATTGACTTCTTCCTCCAATAGTTGTTGATTGCTCCTACAAATAAGCTTGACTTTAAGGCATCTGTCACCACTGCTGTACACCTTCAGTGCTCTCTGCCACCATCACAGATCAGTTTCCAGCACGGTTCTTGTATGACAATAGGTAAAAACCTTTAACATACTGACTATGATTCAAATGTTTCCTTAGGACATTTTGAGTCTCCAGAGTATCATACACATCAGTCCTGTGACGACATGGATTAACAAAGGAAATAAGCAAAACCAAATCTAGATGGATGGCAAAAACTAACAAAAAATGAGACCGCAGGGACAGTGCCTGAGCTCTTGGCCAAGTCATTCCGTTTCTGCGAGCCTCACTCCTCACACCTGCAATGTTTCAACAACAGCAGCTTCGTGTGACGATGAAAAGACACCTGGCAAACCCTGAAGCCCACAGCCAATGAACTACCACGAGCCAAAATACCCAGGCTCCTGACACTAACGGTACCCGAAGAGCTGCTCCTTTCGCAACTGAGAACTCCCACTTCTATAACCAGGAGGCTGCAGAAGGGGCAAACTTAGTCTCCGAGCTGTAGGAAGCACAGCTTCCTGTGGTCGGGAGGGGGCTCCCTGAGGGAAGCCGGCGGCCTTAGCTCCGTCACAGGGGAAAGGAGACATCAGACCACACAGGGTGCATGCGCAGTGCTGTGACAAGGATGCTTTCTCGGGACAGCTGGGGTCAGTCTCAGGTACCTACTCAGCTCAGCACAGACTAAATGCTTCCAGTCCTCCTCGCCCTGCTTTCCCGATCTTTGTGCACTTCCTGTAGGGCTGCTCAGTTCCAGTCTGTGCTGTGAGGAGCTCAGCTGTGTGGAAGGTGCCAGGGAGAGGAGCTCCCGTCCTGCAGTTTCCGATCCGGGGCTGCCTGTGTCCTCAGGAGGCGGACAGGCAGGGTGCTCCCCATGAGGAGGATTTTCCCTCCATGAAGCCTGTCAGTCATGGGGGGAGCAGAGGCGGTGGGATTGGTAGAGCACTTATTCTTGCATCCTAATCTCACATCACCTCGAGCTCAGGACTTGATGCTAAACCCATCTTAAAGGCAAGTGCGGTGAGGTTATGGAGACTGACTTGCCAGGAGTTGCACAGAGGAGCAGGCCCGAACCTCAAACTCCTTGCTGACCTTTCTCCCTGTCCCCTTAACTACCACCATCTTACATCCTAGGGCCGAGAAAAAAGAAAAAGCATTTAGGTCTCACTCTTGCGCAGGAAAACTAGAGTGCATGTGTGCATATCCGTCGTGATTAGAATTTGGTCACAGATTTCCTTTTGATCAAAGTTCCATTCCCTTAAAGGAAATATTTCAAGATTTTTTTAACGCAGAGAAAAACAAACAGTTGTTTATCAATGACAGGTTTATAGGGTCTTCAAAAGGCAAAGGTTTAAAAATCCGCATCCAAAGTGAAGACATTATCTGTGGTTTCTGCCATTACTGCGAAACGCTGATACTCTGAAACTCGTTTCTCAAAGAAATTTGTTTTCCCTTCTAAAGAAATGTTTTCCATAAAATCAAAGGGATTTTCTGTCTGAAAAACCTGAAAAAGAAAAGAAATGGTATAAGATATTCTGAAGAAGTCAAATTATATCTCCTAAGAAGGGCAAAACTGACCAAAAGGAACGCGCGCGCACATCTCCCTGCGCCTGCCTTGTCACAGTCTCCTGGGCCCCCAGCTGAGGGCCGAGGTCACCACCAACCTTCTGGAGAAACTGCACTGCTGGCGAGCGCACTTCAGGAAAGGGGTCTCCTGTGAGGAAGCAATCGCACTGCCCACGGCTGCAAGGCGACCAACCGCGACTTGGCCCAGCCCTGAGCGGGCGTCTCTGTCCACCAGAGAAGGGACGCCGTGCTCGGAAGAGGAGCAGATGCGGACCCAGTGCTCGCCCTGGCCAACAGCTAGAGGGACCCGCGGTGGAGACGGCCAGCGGGGCTGGGAAAGGCAGGCGGCCGCACAGGGACGGGTCAAGGTGGGGAGCTCAACAGACACGACACGACACGCCGGGAAGACACACGAAGGCCAACGAGCACGTGGACAGCTCCACGTCACCTCCGGCCTCCCCAACACCTCCCACGCATGCAGATGCCCTGCAGAGCTGCACAGCAGGAGGACGAGCAAACACCGAAACCGAAACGAGGGGACCGCCACGCAGACTGGTGACAACGCGTGGAGCCACCGGGAGACCCAGCGAGCTCTCCCTACATGACGTGTGCACGCACTTGGGCAAATGAAAATGTCACCAAGCTTGTGCACGGTGTGCACAGAGCACGGTTCATCACGGCCAGCAGAAACAACCCAACTGCGAACTGAGCAAGGAGCAAACAGAATTCAGTCCACCCACAGGATGGGCACCATCCGGCCCTGAGAAGGGAAGAGGTGGAGCCAGGGGGATTTAGCCAAGCGGTGCCACCTCATGGCCCCCAAGCACAAGGTCCTGAGTTCATCCCCAGTATCAAAAACAAAAGTCGGGGAGGAGGTACTCACACATGCTATATGGTGAACGACCCATGAAAACATGAGAATAAGGAAAGAACAGAGCCACAAAAAGCCTTGTACTAAGCAATGTCACTTAAACCAGGTGTGGTGGCACATGCCCTCAATCCTATTACTCAGGAAGCTGAGGCAGGAATCGAGAGTTCAAGGCTAGGGTCGGAGATGTAGCTCAGTGGCACTGCACCTGCCACACAAGCTCAAGGTCCTGAGTTCGATCCCCGGTACAAAAAAAAATAAAAAGAATTCAAGACCAGCCTGAGCTTCACAGCAAGACCGTTTCAAAAACCCAAAACTAGAATATACAGAAGAGGCAAATCTAGAAAGACGGAAACTAAAGACTGCCTAAATCGGGTGGGAAGGGTGAGGGAAGAAAGGGAAGTGGTTGGTGGCTGGATTTCTATAGGGCGATCAAAAGGTTCCAAAATATACTGCTGCACAGGCTGCACGATTCTAAACATACAAAGAACACTGAATTGTACATTTTAACTGGGCAAACGCTATGTAGTTTATACCTTACTACGACGTTATCTGTATAATGCCATCTTAATAAGTCTGGGGCTAATGTTGAGTTGTGTGAAGCTGAGTTCAGGGTGAAAACGTGTGCTCTCACACAATACACACATCAGAAAGAAAGAGCACTGGCTGACAGATTCATTTTACAACTGGGACCTTTTGAAAAAACGGGATCTGCAACATTTACCACATGGGCAATGTCACCAAGACAAAGCCAACTAAATGGCTTATGACACACAGAAGTATTCAAATGTTTATCGCCCAATCTTAAAGGAAAAAAGGTGGTGACTAATGTGACTTCTTAAGAATCTGTTGAAATTGCTTTACCAAAAGCTATCACAGGAATAAGACCTTTTCTATCTCCATAGGTTCGAGGTCAGTTCTTGCTTTTTTTTTTTTACTTAGAAAACTTTCTTTTTCAGGCCAGGGATTTAGCTCAGTGTTGCCGCTACCTGCCTCTCAAGCACAAGGTCCTGAGTTCAATCTCCAGTACCACAAAAAAAAAAAGTTTTTCTTTTTTATTTGAATGTAATACAAGTAGAGTTAATATGGAAATATTAAAAAGCACTCTTCTATAAAAAACAAAGTTTCATACCAAAAATCATTAGAGAAAAACAACAGTCGATACACTGTGCATCGTAATCTTAGAAGAATGGCCAAAATGTTACCAGAGTACAAGACAGATAAAAAGACTCTTACAGAGAAGACACAGACAATGGCGCCTGCTTTCTCAGTGCACGCGTGGCAAGCTGAGGGTCTCCGGTCCTCTGGCAGCCCTGTCAGTCCTGCCGTGCGGAATGTTACTGCTCACCCCTCACCTTTTCAGGCTGAGAGCCTTGCTCCTGCTGAGAACACTGCTCTACCTCAGCCCCTCCAGTCACATCTTGGAAGACTTCTTTTCTATATCTGAGGAGATGGAGCTCTTTGGCAATGTCTTGTTTTTAATTTCTGACTTTATCGCACTAAAGTCTAATGTTTGTGCAATCTCTGCTTTGGGAAGCTTATTCGGATACTCAAAGAGCTGCGGGGAGATGAAGATTTATGCTGCATTTAGCTTTTTCTGCGAGACGGGGCATGTCTTACACACCTACTATTCACCCACGGGGCTCCTCCCCATAAGCGAGAGCGCATGAACGAGAGGGTGCAAGGCTACGGCAGCAGCTACCAAACGACCAACTCACTTTAAGGCTCAAGTAAGCAAATTACTCTTCCTATAGAAACATATTGGTAAAAGTTACAAACAAACACAATTCTTTTAATACATGTAGTTTATAAACTTCAGAGATTTCATCACAATTATAATCTTATTTCTCTAATCTCAGTCAGCAGGATCTTGCAACCACACAGTAACACAGCTGACCCCACAGCACCCTTCGCCCCACACACTTTCCCGACCCGTCGTACTGAATGCAGCGTCCAGGCTACGAGATCGGCCCTGCACCTCCCACGCCAGGTGGACGCGCGCTGACAGCTCTGAGCCCGCTGCACCCCAGCATGACGGGACCCCGGGCGCCTCTGCAGCATCGCTTTCTGTCCACTCACCAGCCCCTGCCCAGTGCTCACGAGAAATGGTGGCACGGGCCGGACCCACCCCCACATCCCAGGGGCACCGAGCTCCTTAGGAAACGGAGGCGCACTAGCCCCAGACCCACGAAGTAGCAGAAGTAAGGACGACTGAGGGCAAAGAGTGGAATGAGGGCTGGGGTGGAGCGCAGGGACAAGCAGCGAGCTGAGGAGGCCTCACAAAGGGATGGAAAGAAAGTCAAACCATGACAGTGAAGGTCTTCCTTTAATTTGTTTGGTTTGTTTTTCATTTGTTTTTGAAACAAGGTCTCACTATGTATACAGCCCAGGCTGGCCTTGAACTTACAGTGATCTTCCTGCCTCAGCCTCCTGAGTGCTACGATTACAGGTGGCCAACATCACACCCAGCAATTAATGTCCTTCTAATAACCATCCCTGTTTAAGTGCTCACCCCCAAATTAGGTTATAAGCACACAGAAATTTATATGAAGGTAGATACATGTGTATAGGAAATCCAATTATTTGAAAATATCCTATTAAATATATACCTGTAATCACTATTAATTTACTGAGCTTAGTAGTCCTAACTTTTACCAGCCTCCTACTTCTGTATGAGCTTTAAGTTTCAAAGGATTTTACAAAAACAATTTTTTCATACTAAAAAAGTCTCCGATGTGGACACGTTAAAAGTAGAATCGTAGATTAAAAATGAGTTCCGTAAAGTGTATTTCGGGGACCTTCTTTAACTATGACTTTTTTTTTTGGTACCAGGGATCGAACTCAGGACCGTTCACTTGTAAGGCAGGCGGCGCCCCTGAGCCAAACCCCCGGCCCTTCACCGTGCCGTCTCAGCTGGTACCAACCCGTGTAAGACCCTTACCTTGGAGAATCCAAGCTCCACCAGCAGTCTGTCCGCCACAAACTCGATGTACTGCTTCATCAGAACACAATTCATCCCGATCAGGCCAACTGGCAGGGCCTCCGTCAAGAACTCCTGGGGTAAACAGAAGCAGAACGAAGCACAGGCAGTAAACGTCGGGCACCTTCCCAGGAGGGTCTGCCCCAGGCGGGCATCACTGAGCCATCTCCCCTCCCCAGGAGCAGAAGCGCACACGCCCCAGACTCCTGGGGCGGCAGAAGCAGGGCGTGGAGGGAAGCACTCAAGTCTCCTCAGTAGAAAAAGGACAGCCTCCACTCTGGAATGCCCCGAGAAATCACTACAGAGGACAGTCACAGCGGAGGACTGTGGAAGGCAGGGACTCCATTAACAAGGAATGTGACAAACACAGAAACAGGCAGGGCTTGGGATGAAGCCGAACTCCAACCCACTGAAAGACTGGTGACGGGAAGGAATGCGGTACCCTAACCACAGGGTCCTAAGCTCTCAGAGTGGCACGGCCGCACCCCTCCCAACACCCACAAGCCTGCAGGGTTAGAAGCTGGGCTAGCTCTTCAGAACGACAGCGAAATCCTAGTGAAGCGTCTGTTCCCCCATCCGGAATCCTGCCAGGCCCTGAATGACGTGTCCCTTCCCTGGTCCACTTTCACATTCATTCCACAGACAATCCGCACCGAATCCACCCAGCGCCCTGTCAGGTCCGGAGAGCACAGAGAAAGAAACCATCACTAGTTATCTGGAGATACAAGGCTACGATAATCTGACAGAAAAAAAGAGACAGGAAGATCACACTGAAACAGGTTCCACTTATATAGGAAACTTTAACATAACAAAGACTGAGTTAGAAACCAAAAATTACAAGCTGATATAAAAAACTGCAATACATCAAGTACCAGTATCGTCAAACTGACTACACAAATTTGATGATACTTTTTTGGACTAGCAAAACGACAACTTCACAAGTCAAATATAATACCACCACAAAGCCGGGCATCTGTAATCCTAGCTCTCAGGAGGCTGAGGCAGGATCACTTTGAGTTCGAGGCCAGGCTGGGTTAACTAGTGAGTTCAAGGCCAGCCTGGACTACCCAAGCAAGATGCTGCCTCAAAAAAACAAAGAATAAAATATAAAAATAAAAATAAATGCTGCAGCCAGGTGCAGCAGCTCAGCGACTGGGAGGCAGAGGCGGGTGGGGTGCTGGAGCCCGTCTGAGGGTAGCCTGGGCAACGCAGTGAGCGCTCCACTCAAAATTTTAAAAACTAAAAGCTAAATAACGATTCAACATAGTGACGGAACAGTGGTGCACACATGAAAGCGAGAGAGATGCTCCAAGTACACAAACTCCCTCACCTGCTCGATCCTCACGGCCTCCACAATGATCTCCCGGACCCTGTCCTCCACTGGCTTGTGCACCAGGTACCGGAACATCAGGCAGGCGAAGTCACAGTGAAGTCCCTGCATGGGCACAGAGGCATGGTCAGGAGCACCGTCCACTCTGCTCGGGGACACACGCGAGGCGGGGGGCCGCTCTCCTCCAGAGCTCACTAAACACTAGCTCAGCAACTCGTCTTTGAAAGTGTCCATGTCAGCAAATTATAGCTCACCAACAGTAAGAAAGACTAATTTACAAACAGAAATCTGTAACCAAAAGCATTTTAGAAAGAAAATAAACCTGACTAGCCAAAATAAAATTCATCAATTTGTAAGTGTCAAAAAAATGAAGGAATGATTCCAAAATAGTAAGTAGTATTTAAAGAACAGATGAAACTCACTCAGAGGTTTTAAAAAGAACATTTACATTATTTATAATTAAAGAACATTTATATATATTAAAGAACACATATTTATATATATTAAGAACGGCTCAAGATGGGCGTGGAGGTACATGTAATCCCAGCTATTTGGGAGGCTGAGGTAGGAGGCTCAAAATTTCAAGGACAGTCTGGGCAACACAGCAAGATTCTTTCTGAAAATAAATCCCCTTTCTGTTTGAAGCAAGGTCTCACTACGTAGGTAGACTAGATTGGCTTTGAACTCACTATGTAGTCCAGGCTGACCTCAAATTTGTGATCTTCCTGCCTCAGCCACCAAAGTACTATGATCACAGGCGTGTACAACCATGCCTGGCTCAAAATAAATTTGAAAAAATGGCTGGGGATGTAGTCCAGTCATTGACTGCTCACCTAGCGTGTGTGAGGCTTTGGGTTCAATCCCTAGCATCACACTGGCGTGTGTGCACACACAGGCGCACACACACACACACACACACACACACACACCTCAAAATAAAAATAAATTCAGTGCACTGAAAATGGAAAGCATGGTTTGGTGAATACCACCTGAAGCAGTAAACAATAGCAGTGATGCTGCATATAACTCAACCAGACAAGAAAACAAACACCCTTTTAATAAGATGATCGCAAAAACACAATAAATATTATAAAATCTTAACCAGAGAACAGACCAAGTTGATTCAACCTAGCGAGGATTCCAACACACAGAACAGGGGGCAAAGCTGAGTATCAAAGAACAACATTTTCAAAATTCAAAACAAAAAAAAGAAAAAGAGGACACAGGAAGATGACAGAATTCCCAACAAAGTTACTAACTAGAAACCGACGCCACGGAAGCCAGGCGGCATCTCCAAATCTCGAAGGAAACAAGCTGAAGCACCAAGGAAGGGGACCCCACAGGGTTACAGGTCGGAGCTGCTTAGGGCTTCCTAACTCGGTTGACAGAAACCCCAGAATTCAAAGATAAGACAGGCTGGGGATTTAGCTCAGTGGTTCTGCTACCTGCCTCGAAAGCACACGACCCATCAATCCCCAGTGCCAAAAACAAAAACAAAGATAAGACTGCTACCAAAGGCTGTACCCCAAGGTCATTCCCGGGGAAGTTATTTTTTAAAACCTACCTCCTCCCTGAACAAATTTACTTGTGGGACTGCATAACTTTGTAATCTTAAGTAAGTTCCTAGTCTCAACTGTGGTAACAGGTGGTTTAGTAGTTCTGGGTACGTAAATAAAGATTGTTTCACTCCTTGTCTGCCCAAAAGCAATGTTTTGAAAACCTTGGGGCATTCTGTAAGCATCTTGAATGCAGACCCCCACCCTGCCTGTCCCCTTACATAAAGGACCTCAGCCCCTGAGCTGCTAGTCCGGTGTGTTCCTTCCTCGGTGATTCTCGCTGCTCGTCAAGCTCCTGGAGCCATCGCTGGGCTGTAGGCCCCAGCGTCTTGGAGGCCCGTTTGGCTGTTCAAGCTCCACGGAGTGGAAGTAAGGCCCTAGGTCTTACGTACTAATACATATTTTTTCTGCAGGTGTGACTCATGGGGGACACACATTTCACATGAACACAGGCAGAGGTCAAAGCAGCCCCGGAATCCACCAGAGGGAGTGTGGGGTACCGGACAGGTGCCATCCGTCAAGAGATTGTCGGCCACATGCACCTGACTGTGCCACCGTGAAGGAACGAAACTCATTCTGAGGTTCAAAGCAACACCAACCAAAATCCCCATGGAGCTATATTTATTTTAAAAACTAATCTGGAAGAACAAATTGTCAGGACCTTACAAGAATGCTCTAAAAAGGAATGCTCTGGGGCCAGGGATTTAGCTCAGTGTTTCCACTGCCTGCTTCACAAACATAAGTTCCCGAGTTCAAGCCCTGGTACCAAAAAGAAAAGGAATGTTCTGAGATTTATTCTCCCAATTATTAAAATATATAAACTACGATAATTAAAAGTTTGTTATGACATGAAATCTGAAAGATAATCAGTGAGGCAAAAAAAAAAAATAGCTAGGAAATGGATTCTAGTATAGTAAAACCTTAATGTATAACAGACAGCCAAGTCAGTAGAGAAAGGATGGATTACTTAATAATGAAAATTGGAAAATCTTTCCAAGAATGTTCAAAATAAAATTAAATTAAAGTCAGGTATGGTGGTACATACCTGCAATCCCAGCATTTAGGAGGCTGAGGCAGGAGGACTGTCTCAAGTTCAAGTTAAGTTCAAGGCCAGTCTGAACTACATAGCAAGATCTTGTCTCAAAAACACCAAAATACATAAATTAATAAATGAAATCAAGTTAAATTCTAACTTCATACCATCTATTACATTTTATACTTAAACCAAATAAATGCCAATTGCATTAGGGAGCTAAATGTTAAAAAGCCAAGATGAATATGCGTGTGATCTCTTATCTACAGAAGTAATCACATAAAAAATAAATGTTCAATATCAACAAGATTAAAAAGCAAAGGACAAACTAGGACAACATTTAAAATAACTAACAAAATTCATACTTTATGTTATATTCATGCAACAAATGTAGCAAATAAGCAAAACGAATTCAGGAAATAAATAGTCCTCGAAAGAGGCTGATTAGTGCCTGCACCTCAGGAACATTCCCTAAGCACGGCAAGCTTGGACCCTTCCTGAGAGTTGTAGGCCAAGACAGAGACTTCCACACAGACTTCCTGCAGGGTCACAGACTACTTTAAATAAAGGACAGGGGCTGGGGATGTAGCTCAGGGGCACAGTGCCTGGGAAGTGCAAGGCCGAGTTCGATTCCTGTACCAAAAAGCAAAAAAACCAAAACAAAACCAAAAAAATTAAGAATATTCACAATTCCATAAAGTATTAATATCACATTAGAAAGAAAAGCAAAAGAATAGGTAATTATAGAAAAAATACAGATGACTAACCTCATTATGAAAAAAGTGCAATCTAAGAAATGCAAATAAAACCAAATGAGATGCTAATTATGTCTATCAAATCTGATAAGTATCTAGAAAAATAATCCAAAGTCTGGTGAGCATATAATAAAAAGTTCACACACTAAGTGAATTTGAAAATTGCTGTAAAATTTGCATAAAGAAATTTACAAGTAAGTATGAATGGTCTTATAATCTGCTAATTCTACTTTTCCTGAATGAATTTGAAAAAAATACATAGCTGGATAGCTATATACAAAGTATTCATTTTACTATAACAACATAGATAAATAAAAGTGTCAATAACAAATTTCTAATTGCAGTAAAAAAAGATACACTCATTTATTAGAATATTATCTAACAGGGGCAGCCCACTTTCCAGTACCCATTCTGTCTTAGACAGGAGCTTTCGTTATTTCAATAAATTTTTCCTACTATTAAAAAAAAAGAATATTACCTTAAAAAAGTATTTTTTAAATATTTACAATCATAGAAAAATGCTAAAAAAAAAAAAAAAAGAAGAAAAATGCTCACATTGTTTTGCCAAGTGGAAGAAAATCATAAAATTCACAAAATTGTGAAAAATAATGTTCAGGTACTATAATACATAGATTTAAATGTAGAAAAATATCTAGAAACACAATAAAATAGTAAAAGTAATTATCTTTGTGTTTAGGTGCATTTTATTCTCTAAATTATATGTAATCATACATTTATAGTTAGTTATTAAAAACGTAAAGACTTCAAACAGCAAACGGTTATTATTTATAGCCTTCTATGGCACTTAAATGTTTTCATACATGTATCCTGCTTCCCTGTGTTCTAACAAAGCCCTGTTAAGGTCTACAGCTGAAGAGGGGAAAAAATGTTTACCAGCTGTTCCTCAGACAAAGGTCTACTATCTAGAATGTATAATTTTAAAAAATCAGACCCCCGAATATAAAGACCCAATTCAAAAATGGGCATCTGCAATGAAAAGACATTTCTCAAAGAAGTAAAAGCAGCAAATAAACATGAAAAAATGTTCCACATCACTGGTCATTGGAGAGATGCAGATGAAAACAACACTGAGATTCCACCTCACCCCAGAAAGAATGGCTGCTATCAAGAAATCACTCAGTAACAAATGCTGGGGGGGTTGTGGGGAGAAAGGAACCCTTCTCCATTGTTGGTGGGAGTGCAGACTGGTGCAACCACCATGGAAATCAATATGGAGATACCTCAAAGAGCTGGGACTAGAGGTTCTATCTGACCCAGCTATTCCTCTGCTGGGTGTCTTTCCAAAAGAATTAACAGAATCATATCACAGTGATCTATGCACACCCATGTTTATAGCGGCACAGTTTGTAATAGCTAAAACTTGGAAACAGCCCAGTTGCCCATCCACTGGAGACTGGATAAAGAAGATGTGGTTTTTCTATAAAATGGAATGCTACTCAGCCATAAAGAACGAGAAACTAGAGAGATTTATAGCTAAGTGGATGCACACTGAGGCCATACTCTTAAGCGAAATAAATTAAGACACACGTGTAAATACTGAATAGTTTATCTGGTGTGAAATACTAAAAGAGTAAATAAGGATCCAAATGTATAGTAGATATTGTGTAATAGGAAGAAAAGGTCTAAAAGAGTAGAGGAAATGGAAGGCGTGGGGAAGGGAAAGAAGGGACAAGAAAAACTATGTAAAAAGGAAGAAGCTGGAAAGGTCTCTGAAACAGGGAAGAGGGGAGGGAGTGACAGGAGAACGGGGGAGTGCAGAGAAATAAGAGCCGAGAGCTGTGTGACTACAAGGTCCCAACGACGAAGTGAGCGCACCGCACCGTACCCCTAAAAAGTACCGCTAACCCTACACAGGCAATGGAGAAACTCAGGCTCCCCGACATCAGGTGAGCACGGCAAGGCCGTCAGAAGTCAGGGCGGAGCCGCGGAGAGCGGAGGAGGAGCAGCAGACAGGGCGGCGGACGGCACGGGGCAGCTCCGTCCCCACGGGGTGCCCACGGGAAGCAGCGGCCCTGCACCTCGGCCGATGCCTTCGGTGCAAAGGTGACCGGCGGGTGGGAAAGTGGAAAGGGCACTGCGGGCTGAGGGGCAGGACCTGAGGATGGCTGGCGGTCGTGAGCACAGGCGACTCAGGGCATCGCAGAGTCCAAACCGGCGCCCACAGCAACAGCGGCGACCCTCACTGCGACGGCAACAACGGAGACGCAGGCCCCAGACACGGCAGGCGCTCAGTCCGCCGTCTGGAGCGGCCGAAGAGCGCGGCGGCACCGTCTCTGTTACCGCGGGCGCCTGGTCGTCAAAGCAGCTCGCGGGGAAGGAGGAGGACGACACACGTGAGCCCACCCGGGCCTTACCTCGTCTCTGCTGATGAGCTCGTTGGAGAAGGTGAGGCCCGGCATGAGGCCCCTCTTCTTCAGCCAGAAGATGGCGGCGAAGGACCCCGAGAAGAACACGCCTTCCACAGCCGCAAAGGCCACCACCCTCTCCCCTGCGAAACGACAGGCGTCACCGTCGGGACGTCACAGGGCTCGGGAGTCTTCACATAAGGACACAGCAAGGGGTGGACAGCCTGGCCACGGCCAAGGCCTTCAGAGAAGGGGATCCTCCACCTCTACCGGAGGGACAGAAAGGTCCGTCTGCCCCAGATCCAACCTTGGACAGGAGGGGCCTGGGGCTCTGGACACGGGACGGCCTTCCACGCTCAGCGTTAAGATCTCTCTGGCTTTCAATCTCTAACATAAACATTCTTGTTTATTTATTCTGTTTTTTCAGACAAAGTCTGGCTACGTAGTAGTCCAAGCTGGCCTTAAACTCACTGTGTAGCCCAGGCCGGTCCTGAACTCATAGCAATCCTCCTGCCTCAGCCTCCCAAGTGCTGGGATGACCAGTGCGTGCCGCCAGGTCCAGCTATCTAAAATAAACATTCCTAAAAGCAAGTACAAACTGCAGATTGTAGCAGCACTCTTATCAGTGCCTATGTGACGGATGTCAGCTTCTCTGTTACACTGTGCATTGACATCTTAACTTTTCAAATTCTAAATACAATAAATACAGCTGGGCAGAGTCCGAGCACTCAGGAGGCCAAGGCGGGAGGACTGGAGGGAGTTCAAGACCAGCCTGGGCTACGGAGTGAGATCCCCTCTCAAGAAAACAAAATAATAATAATAACAATAAACAGAGTAAATAACAGCTTTTTACCACTGGTTCCTAGTAAATAATCAGAAGTAGTGGGGCCGGGGATTTAGCTCAGTGGTTCTGGCACCTGCTTTGTAGGCGCAAAGACCTGAGTTCGATCCCTGGTACCAAGACAAACAAAAAAAGTAGTGATTCTAGTAAAGGATCAAGTAGAGACCTCTGTATCCTTTTCCAAACAATGGTATCACAGAAAACAGCTTTAGGTCCCCTGGGGCAAGTTTGATTAGGTATTAATTACAGCTACAAACCGAAAGTAGATTCTCTGTCTGCTATCCACCGCAGGGCCCAGTCTGCTTTTTTCTTAACATATGGCATTGTTTCAATTGCATTAAATAAAAATTCCCTGTAAAAACAAAAGAATTCATGAACAAGTCATTCATTGGCTTTTTTTTTTTTTTTTTTTTTTTTTT